CATTTCTCTGCCATTACTTCTCTCATCACTGTAAGCCTGATGATGTTTGGTTTCCAATCCCCATCCAAGCGAATCCCCACTCCCTCCCCCCCCCAGCCCCCGCCCTTTTTAAACTGCAAACTTGACCTAGGCTCTCAGGTCGCACCAGCCTGAGATTGAAATCATGCAAGGTCATAGAGAAACAGAGTTGGACAGGCAAAAACTGCATTTTATAAAATGAAAAACATCTTGTGCAATATATCCTTGTCATTGAGAGTTAGAAAAAGAATTCTTGCTTGCTACATACATCCAGTTTTAACATATGGATGTGAATCCTGGACAATCGGTAGGCAGGCCAAACAATTTTTAGAGATCTCAGAGATGTGGTTTTACAGAAGAATGCCTAGAATACATTGGACAGCCAAAATGGAGCAACTAAGATGTTTTGAAAGAGGCGAGAGCCCGAAGATAACTTATCACAGACATCAGAAGGAGACAGTCATCATTTTTCGGCCATGTTATGAGAAGAGGGAAAATAGAACATGTTGTGACCACTGGAAAGATCTGTGGAAAAAGGGATAGAGGAAGACAACGAGAGAAGATGCTTGATAGTCATGTTGCATGGCATTGAGGTGTGTCGGCACACAAACTGATACATGCTGCAGGAGATCGCAGATTATGGAGAGGCATGATCGCCCACGCCAGTCGGCAAGGCACCTGATGATGATGAAGGTTATAGGAAGTGAAAGTGGCCGACGTCATGTTGATCACATTCCCAAACAAATGGTAATCTAGCAACATGTCAGATGTAGTGCTGGCGTAGAAAGGGTTTGTAATGCCCATTATGTTGGCGTCTGTGATTTAGACGCTGCTAACTCGCTTCGTAATTATGAGGTGCATAGTTCGATTCTACCCAGCGGCATTTTGGCAGCAAACCACTGCATTGATTCAAACAGGCATCTCGGGTAGTTAGTTAGCATTCTTTGGATACTTTCTCCACGTCATATCGGTGTGCTGGGAAACAAGCAGGCGATAGACTGACCGGTTCTGCTCCACTTGGTGGTCAATTGATATATCACAAGCTAGATGTTGTGAGGGCCCTTTAAGAGCGAGTGAACAGTGCGGAGGCACAAATAGGTTATTTAAGTCTGAGGAGAATGGCGCCGCGGGGAGTTACCAGAGGATCTGGCCAACGCTCAACACTCAAAGAAAAGGCGAGCGATGGATATACAGTCAAACAGTTACTGGTACCATCGGGATTAGAACTCTTCGCTTGCTTCTTAAGATGGGACGAGGCGCTTATGGGAGTTTCCCGAGTGCTGTGATGTCGATTCTTAATTGAACATTTAATATTCATTTCAACAGCATTGATTCTACAGTTCTTCGAGAACCGGCGGTTTAGAATTAATAACATTCAGTAATACTAGCAAACTACAGAACGCACAATTGCGTAGTAAAACCAAACAACCAAGAAATGCTGGTGTTTAGCTGAGTTGAGTTGAGTCAAGAATTGACATCATATCACGCAGGGCATTCCCATGCATGCCCCGTTCTCATCTTCAGCAGCCAGCGCAGAGTTCCAATACTAATGGTACCTATCACAATCTGGTTTTATGTCCGTCCTGCCTTTCCTCTAAGTGTAGTGAGCCGACGAGACCCAGATGCCTCATTCTCTCCAGACGATAATAATCTTCTATCTCTACTGATTCACTTGCTTGTTCCCAAAGGGCTTTGACCACATCTGCCTTGTCATGTATCAATTCACTAACCTAGTGGTGCAGATCCAGCCAATCTGTCTGCCTGTTCCTTACCCGCCAAGCCGGCGTAGCCTGCAGAAAAGATACAAAGTATGCTCTGTGACCTTTTCAGTGAAGCTTATCACTTTGCTCGAAGCATCCATAGTGTTTGTTCTGCAACATTCTGTAAAGGATCTGCAACTAAGTATGTTCATTATAGAGTTTCATTTAAAACACGTTGTGTATCTTGCAGGTGGAGACAATCGGTGACAAATACATGGCTGTTAGTGGGCTCCCGGAGAAGTGTGACGACCACGCCAAGTGTATTGCCAAACTGGCGCTGGACCTCATGGACATCTCCAGAGAACTCAAGAGTCCCAACGGAGATCAAATCATGGTTAGTTCTTTCATGTGTTTTCTTTGAACTATGGAGCACCTTAAGTGTTTAATTCATGATCATCATTATCACCATTGTAATTATCCCGTAATGCCGTTTAGGCTCAACACAGGGTTCGCAAACTTTGTTCACTTTATTAGAGCACATTATATATTTTGTTGTTGTTTAAGATAACGTTAAGGGTTCCGTCGCCCAGCTACTAAGTTGAGTGCTAGGTGGGACACTGTGAGCTGGAGATTTTATGTTGAATTTCTGTGTGCGTGTTTGTGTACCCATGGCGTGTTTTTAACTGCACTAAAATGGCAGGTGGTCAATTACGTTCAGAATGGCGCGTACTATTACGGGTGGAAAGCAAGTTTTCCTGATTAATCATTTGTACCAACCGTGAATTGTAATTCTGGTCTGGAACTGTTAGTGTTGGCACCTTTGACAGCTGTATTATTCATTTTAAGTGTGTTTGTTCAAGCTTCAACATTTTGCTGAAACTGACATGCTTTTCACCAGCTTTTAAATGGGACATTGAACGCCATTTCGTTTTATTTCCAACTGTTATGGAAATAAAGCAGTTATGAGGCGACAGTCTGCAGTAATGCTGGAACTTTGACTCAGTTATTGGGCGACAGTCTGCAGTAATGCTGGAACTTTGACTCAGTTATTGGGCGACAGTCTGCAGTAATGCTGGAACTTTGACTCAGTTATTGGGCGACAGTCTGCAGTAATGCTGGAACTTAGACTCAGTTATGGGGCGACAGTCTGCAGTAATGCTGGAACATTGACTCAGTTCTGGGGCGACAGTCTGCAGTAATGCTGGAACTTTGACTCAGTTATTGAGCGACAGTCTGCAGTAATGCTGGAACTTAGACTCAGTTATTGGGCGACAGTCTGCAGTAATGCTGGAACTTTGACTCAGTTCTGGGGCGACAGTCTGCAGTAATGCTGGAAATTAGACTGAGTTATTGGGACGACAGTCTGCAGTAATGCTGGAACTTTGACTCAGTTATTGGGACGACTGTCTGGAACTTTGACTCAATTATTGGATCGACAGTCTGCAGTAATGCTGGAACTTTGACTCAGTTATTGGATCGACAGTCTGCAGTAATGCTGGAACTTTGACTCAGTTATTGAGCGACAGTCTGCAGTAATGCTGGAACTTAGACTCAGTTATTGGGCGACAGTCTGCAGTAATGCTGGAACTTTGACTCAGTTCTGGGGCGACAGTCTGCAGTAATGCTGGAAATTAGACTCAGTTATTGGGACGACAGTCTGCAGTAATGCTGGAACTTTGACTCAGTTATTGGGACGACTGTCTGGAACTTTGACTCAGTTATTGGATCGACAGTCTGCAGTAATGCTGGAACTTTGACTCAGTTATTGGATCGACAGTCTGCAGTAATGCTGGAACTTTGACTCAGTTATTGGGCGACAGTCTACAGTAATGCTGGAACTTTGACTCAGTTATTGGGCGACAGTCTACAGTAATGCTGGAACTTTGACTCAGTTATTGAGCGACAGTCTACAGTAATGCTGGAAGTTTGACTCAGTTATTGGGCGACAGTCTACAGTAATGCTGGAACTTTGACTCAGTTATTGGGACGACTGTCTGCAGTAATCCTGGAACTTAGACTCAGTTATTGGGCGACAGTCTGCAGTAATGCTGGAACTTAGACTCAGTTATTGGGCGACAGTCTGCAGTAATGCTGGAACTTAGACTCAGTTATTGGGCGACAGTCTGCAGTGATGCTGGAACTTTGACTCAGTTCTGGGGCGACAGTCTGCAGTAATGCTGGAAATTAGACTCAGTTATTGGGACGACAGTCTGCAGTAATGCTGGAACTTTGACTCAGTTATTGGGACGAATGTCTGGAACTTTGACTCAATTATTGGATCGACAGTCTGCAGTAATGCTGGAACTTTGACTCAGTTATTGGATCGACAGTCTGCAGTAATGCTGGAACTTTGACTCAGTTATTGGGCGACAGTCTACAGTAATGCTGGAACTTTGACTCAGTTATTGGGCTACAGTCTACAGTAATGCTGGAACTTTGACTCAGTTATTGGGCGACAGTCTACAGTAATGCTGGAACTTTGACTCAGTTATTGAGCGACAGTCTACAGTAATGCTGGAAGTTTGACTCAGTTATTGGGCGACAGTCTACAGTAATGCTGGAACTTTGACTCAGTTATTGGGACGACAGTCTGCAGTAATGCTGGAACTTTGACTCAGTTCTGGGGCGACAGTCTGCAGTAATGCTAGAACTTTGACTAACTAGATAACAAATATTACATATTAAAAGAAATGAAACGGAATGTTAGACCGGCAAATGTGTCACATTCCTCACCATTTTAAAATATAATATTTTTTGAGTCCCTTCTTTCCTTTTATTCTGTCCTGTGTAATGTTTTCGGCGTTCCTTAAAAATAAAGAAAATTACCTTATATTATTATTTTAAGAGAAGAAAAATTATGGAGGAAACACCATATTCTGAGTTCATGTACTTAATACTTCATCATCATCATTATCATCATTATCATCATCATCAGCATCATCATCATTATCATCGTAATCACCACTATCATCATCATCATCATCATCATCATGAGAAACGAAATGATAGAAATGCCTACGTGACCAATTCCTATCTCCTTAAAATATAATTTCTTCGCCTCTTCCTCGGATCCGTTCTATCCTGTGTAATCTTGTCGACGTTTCTATAGCAAGATGGTTGTTTCACTGGGAGGGTGTGCTGTCCCACACCCAACTCTCCTCCTTTAACATCCGATCTGAAACCGGCAATGGCAGAGTGGAGCTGGGTTGAGTTAAGAACCGACATCACAGCACTCGGGGCATTCCCATAAGCGCTCTGTCCCCCATCTTCAGCAGCCAGCATAGACTTCCAATACCAGTGGTGCCAGTAGCATTCTGATTATGCGTCCGTCTTGCCTTACCTCGTCGAGTATCGGCCAGATCCCCTCGTCACCCCACTCCCCCCTCCCCCTCCCTCCGGCATTACTCTCACCAGACTGTGGTGATCCATTTGCTCCTCCGTATTGTACACGTTCTCGCACAAGGCCCTAACCATGTCTGCCTTATCGTGCATCGATACTCCATCATATTGTGCAGAGCCAGCCAGTCTGTCTGCCTGCCCAGCAATGGCGGAGATATATGGTGTTTGACTGGTTGTACCTTCAAGTCAGATGCTGGGGTTGGAAACATCAAATATTATACATTTCATGTATTCTCGTCATCATCGTCAGTCACTTCCAGAACCTCACTCTCGTCACGGCACACCTGAAAGTCTTTTTTTTTTCTCTCTAGCCAGTTCTTCGACCCTATGTGCATTCATAGCCAATGCATCTTTGTGTCTTGATTCCACATTTGGGAAGGTCTGCCTCTGCCTCATTATCCGCAAAACTATACCTGCCACCACAACTCTCTCAAAGCCAACATATATATATATATATATATATATATATATATATATATATATATATATATATATATATATATATATATATATATATATATATATATATATATATATATATATATGTGTGTGTGTGTGTGTGTGTGTGTGTGTGTGTACATTTATGTTGATATGTATGTATGTATGTATGTATGTATGTATGTATGTATGTATGTATGTATGTATGTATGTATGTATGTATGTATGTATGTATGTATGTATGTATGTATGTATGTATGTATGTATGTGTGTGTATATATATTTATATATGAGGCCACGAATTAACTGATTGATAATCTGATTAATTCTGATTGCTCATTGGCATATCGAGCAGCAGCTGGCCGAACTGCTAAGAACGCAAGGCTTTCATGCGGAAGATTTAGGTTTGAATCCTAGGAAAGGGTTAGGGAATTTTTTTCTACTTTGGGGGCGAAAATAATATCCTAATCTCCACAGTCCGCGGCTATAGCACTAACCTGCTGCCCTAAACCCTCAGGCTCAGACGCCCCCCCCCCCTCCTCGCTCCCCCTGCCACCTCCGCCGACACGGTAAAATTGTGCATCGTCTGACTGATTGCAAAAACTCACATGTTTTGTTTAATAAGTTGGTTTACCTGATTTTCCAATGGCTGAATAATAGTATGATTAACTGAATAATCCTCTTGCTGATTGCCTTACAGATTTTTTTGTTTTTAAGTATCCAGAAGCCATAAGTTGTTAACCCTTAGGCTCGGTATTATGGATATCGCAATCCTTCGGCATTGATTCCATGATAAATATCGTAAATCTGGGAGAAATGTGGCTTTTTCTGCCTACCCCCACACGTGAACCCGGACCACAAGCAGTTCGTCACCCGGTCGACGCGAAGTCAGGATTAGTCAACTACGCTAGCGAGCCGGGCTGTCTTACAGATAAAATAAACAACTTATTGATTTGCTGATTGTCAGTCTCGGTGTTTATGTCGAAAACGATTTTTTTTTATTGTGTTAATCGCTGGACTGATTTATGGTTTTGATTGGCCCTCAATAGATTACAATTGGCATTCACTCCGGTGAGGTGGTGACGGGGGTGATCGGCAAGAAGATGCCTCGCTACTGCCTGTTTGGGAACACCGTGAACTTGACCAGCCGGACAGAGACCACTGGGGTCAAGGGCAGGATAAACGTATCTGATGACGCTTACAGGTGAGTGCTGGCAGGGGTCAGTTATCATCGGTGACCGGGTCACCCATTGGCTGGCAATTAAACGACTTCGTCGCCGGTCGGAACAGTATTCAGGTTTGTCTTCCTTGATCGTGTCCACATTGCAAAAGTTGTTTTTTCCAGGGCTACTTGGTGGCGAGCAACACTAAGCCATTTTATACGGCGTAAAAAAACCAAGTCACAATTATAACCTAAAGCTTGCCCTTCGGGGATGCTGGCAGAAGAAGACGATTTTTGTTTGTTTAGCAACGGAACGGAACTGGAACAGTTATTATAGAAGTGAAGGCCGAGGTACTGGTCCTTTATTTCTGCTCTTTATACCCCTCCCCCCCCCCCCCCCCCCCCCCCCCCCCCCCGCCCAGTCCCCTCAGGATTTAGGTCCGTAATAAGTCGCGCCTATTCGTCTTTTACGTGCTATGATGATTTTTTTGTATATCGTCGCATTCAAAATGAAGGTTGGTTGCCGTAACTACTGTCTTTTGAAATATTATGTGCTGAGGCCCCAGTTTCTTCCACAGTGCGGTGAAATTTCTGTTGTGTTTGTTGTTTAAAAGCTTTTATTCCTAACATTCAGCGGCTGTAAAATCCGGTGGAAAATTCTGCCCCCCCCCCCCCCCCCCTTCGTCAGACAGGTGCGCTTTTTCTGAGGAAGAACCCCTAATTAGTAGCCTTTTACGACATATTTGTTAGGAAGGCAGTGGGTCATTTCTTTTCCGCCTAAATTAGGCTCTGAGAGCTGACACAGGGAGTAAGTTTTAAACAAGAACCCCTGGAATACATACCCTAGTACATTAGGATCGCTAAATTGTTAAACGCACTCACCTACCTCTTAGCGACGGAGCTGTACTGTCTTGATAAGCTCACTTCACGTCGTTTCGTAATTGTCACTTGCCTCTCTAGTTTCCTTCTCCGTGCATTCTAGTTATACCGCTCCAGATTCGCTCAACGTGTGTCTCATACAACGCCAACGTCTTTTGACTCCTGTAGATTAAGTCCTATACGAAAGTCCAAATTATATAAACTATAATAGAGGCAGCCAATGTTCTTAGATCATGTATTGAGAAGATGGACGTTGAACAACATTCCAACGAGCGGAAAGATCAATAGTAGCAGAGGCAGACAATGGACACGATACTTGACGACCTGAAGCGATGACATGGTGGAAAATATCGTCGGTGGATAGAAGTAAAAATACCAAGGACCTAGATCTGTAGGGGGAAATGAGCGGCTACGCCGCTGGACATGACGCATGATGACGATGAGATGTAAGTCATTTTCAAGGCTTAAATGATCCGAAAGCTCAAGTTACAGTTCATCCTTCCAAAGTAGTCACCAGCTAACTAAATCATCTAACTATCCAATAAACCAACCACCTATTTAATCCACCACTTACGAAAGTGCTGATGACCATATTATTGATAATGTTGAGGAAGAAGTTAATGATGACGGTCATAATTATAACAACTATCCAACCAACTTGTGGCGTCTGTGGCCTAGACGTTGCGAACGCGCGTCGTATTGCTGGGGTGCCGGGTTCGATCCCAGCTGCGGACGATTTGTCCTGCGTCTGTTTCGACAGTGGTACCGAGAGCTGACCGTTTAGAGAGCAATGCAAACTGCTAAACGTAAAAAATTGCCCAGACAAACGACAACAGCCAAAACTGAAAATGCTGGGGATGGTTCTGCAACGTAAATCCGCCAGTTACGATAATGATAATAGCAGCTAACAAGACCATATTATTGATGATGGTTTGACTCATATTGATGATGACAGTGATTATTTTGATGGCAATAATTTTGATACGTGCTTCGATACACAAGCTTTGAACGAATACAGTGAGTTTGCGCTTCTCATCATGCTGTTGGGACAGAGATGTTCACCATGTAGATAACCATCTCTGTGATGACGACGACAACGATGATGATGATGACAAAAATGATGCCCTAACTGAGATAACTAAAACGAAAACAAATTAAGAAGAGGCTATATTCGACTACCAGCGAGTTGCTAGGACGGAAGTAATGAGAACTGACGAGCGATTAGCGTCAACTATCTCAAGAAAACCAGATAATCACCTGAGTATTTTGGAGAGGTATTCAAACAGCCACATTTGGACCTAGGCCGCCATCTTACCCCAGAACCAGACTCAGCTAGAAGGCTGAGAATTGTCATTCGTAAAAGTGGGGTTCAGGCCCCTTAAGGATCCCCAGCATTAGGGGCCCCCTGAATATTCGCAAGAGGGCTATGTAATCCCCCCCCCCTTTCCCTTTACCATTGTTAGATCTAGACACTTTCTGGTTTTTTTTAAAAATAAAAATAAATATTTCATATTATTAAAAAAAAAATAATTATTTGATCTATTTGCCATGCAGATAATTATAAAAATTATATTATTGGGCACTTAAACCAGGCTTAAGCGCCCTCCATCCCTACAGAATTATAAGCGATGCTGAGCCCCCAATGTTTTTTTTTCTTTCTTTCTTTCTTTCTTTCTTTCTTTCTTTCTTTCTTTCTTTCTTTCTTTCTTTCTTTCTTTCTTTCTTTCTTTCTTTCTTTCTTTCTTTCTTTCTTTCTTTCTTTAAATCTTTCTTTCTTTCTTTCAATCTTTCTTTCTTTTTTCTTTCTTTAAATCTTTCTTTCTTTCTTTCAATCTTTCTTTCTTTTTTCTTTCTTTAAATCTTTCTTTCTTTCTTTCTTTCTTTCTTTCTTTCTTTCTTTCTTTCTTTCTTTCTTTCTTTCTTTCTTTCTTTCTTTCTTTCTTTCTTTCTTTCTTTCTTTCTTTCTTTCTTTCTTTCTTTCTTTCTTTCTTTCTTTTCTTTCTTTCTTTCTTTCTTTCTTTCTTTCTTTTTCTTTTCTTTCTTTCTTTCTTTCTTTCTTTAAATCTTTCTTTCTTTCTTTCTTTCTTTCTTTCTTTTCTTTCTTTCTTTCTTTCTTTCTTTCTTTCTTCTTTCTTTCTTTCTTTCTTTCTTTCTTTCTTTCTTTCTTTCTTTCTTTCTTTCTTTCTTTCTTTCTTTCTTTCTTTCTTTCTTTCTTTCTTTCTTTCTTTCTTTCTTTCTTTCTTTGAATCTTTCTTTCTGTCTTCCTTTCATTCTTCCTTTCTTTCAATCTTTCTTTCTGTCTTCCTTTCTTTTTCTTTCTTTCTTTCTTTCTTTCTTTCTTTCTTTCTTTCTTTCTTTCTTTCTTTCTTTCTTTCTTTCTTTCTTTCTTTCTTTCTTTCTTTCTTTCTTTCTTTCTTTCTTTCTTTCTTTCTTTGAATCTTTCTTTCTGTCTTCCTTTCATTCTTCCTTTCTTTCAATCTTTCTTTCTGTCTTCCTTTCTTTCTGTCTTCCTTTCATTCTTCCTTTCTTTCTGTCTTTCTTTCTTTCTTTCTTTCTTTCTTTCTTTCTTTCTTTCTTTCTTTCTTTCTTTCTTTCTTTCTTTCTTTCTTTCTTTCTTTCTTTCTTTCTTTCTTTCTTTCTTTCTTTCTTTCTTTCTTTCTTTCTTTCTTTCTTTCTTTCTTTCTTTCTTTCTTTCTTTCTTTCTTTCTTTCTTTCTTTCTGCATGTGTGTGTGTGTGTTGTGTGTGTGTGTGCGTGTGCGCGCGCTGGCCAGTTTCCTTGGTTTCCAGCTCTAACTGACTTTGAACTGTCTCCTGAAATAAAGACTAAAACCGTTTGCTGTCTGCGGCCTAGTAGCTTCATCTCTTGTGTAAACAGAAGGCCGGGGAGATCTCATTAGTCTGGCTTATGAAGACTGTTTTCACGTCCGTCCATCATCTTATAGCCCAGGGAGGGTCTTCATTGTGGAGCGGTTGAGCCGGGGACTGGATTTTGAAGTCTGTCGTTTGGTTCTGGAGCGTAAGAGTTTCCAAGATCTTTTTGGACCCGGGGAGCTAGTTGTCAGTGGAGCTGCGGAGTTCACTATTTGTGAGACGCTTGCAGCCGGTGAGTGGGGGAGTGAGACCGAACCATATGGGATAAAACGTGACAGAGGCGTATTGAACAACCAGAGGGTCAAGGTATCCTAATTAAGTCTCCTGTACCTTTTTGAAGCCTTACAACAAAAGACGAGGAGGGGGGGGGGGGCAACTAGCTGGGGCCCCACAATAATGGGGGGGGGGGGGGGGGTGCATGGCCTACCCTATAAAATTTGCGAGGAGGTTAAGTGCCTCTGTCCCTCTTGGCCCCCACCCCAGACACAATGCATACACATTTTTTTTTTTCATAATTAAATATATATTTAGTTGTCTTTCAGCAATCTAACAATAATAATTGTTAAATTGCGCACTTAAACAAGGCATAAGTGCGGTGGCTCACCTACTTGCCAAGTCCCGCCCCTGGAAAATAAAAGGGGGTTAGATCACAGTGATTTCTTTCTGGCATCTACCCTGAGGAGCTCCTGAAACCAAATGAAGTCTTTCCTCTTAGCTTAAAGTACTCCTCATACAGCCAGTGTCTGTGTTTTGTTCTAGCTACTGGTGATATATCTCAAACTCATCTTTCATTTAATCGTTTCAGATTTCTCCAGTTTGTCTACCTTTCGATCAGTTCCGATTTCTCCAACATATTTATCATTTGATCATTCTAGATTTCTCCATGTACCTCTCTGATCATTTCGGATTTCTCCAGCTCATCTATAACTTAGTCATCTCAGCTATCTCTCTTCACCATGTGTTCATTACAAATGTATTCATATATCATCTGATTGTTCAAGATTTCTCCAGCTCATCTACAACTTAGTCATCTCATCTATCTCTCTTCACCATGTGTTCATTACAAATGTATTCATTCATATATCATCTGATTGTTCAAAATTTCATCAGCTCTTCTACCATAAAATCATTTAGGGTTTCTCCAACTCATCTACCATTTGATCATTCAGTTTCTACCATTTAATTATTCCAGATTTCTCTAACTAATTTCCCATCAAATCATTCCGGATTTCTTCAGCGTATCTACTATTAAATCATTTCAGTTTTCTCCAGTTCATATATACCATTCAATCATTTCTGATTTCTCCGACTTAATCATTACAGCTTTTCATCATATACCATTTGATCACTCTAGATTTCTGCAACCTATTTATTATTTAATCAATCAAGATTTCTTCAACTCATCTACCACTTAATCATTACAGATTTCCCCACGTACCATATGATCATTCCAGACTTTCACTATTACTGTTTAATCATTCCAGCTTTCTCCACTTGTCTAACACAAAATAATTCCTGATTTCTCCGAATCGTATACCATTTTATAATTCCATGTTGTCTCTCCTCTCAACACATTTGCCATTTGATCAAGCTCGATTTCTTCAACTTATCTACCATTTGACCATTCCAGATTTGTCCCAACACGTCTACCATTTGATCATACCATATTTCTCCAGCTCATTTACCATTTGATAATTCTAGATTTCTAAAACTCATTTACCATTTGATCATTCTAGATTTCTCACAACACGTCTACCATTTGATCATCCAGATTTATTTCGACTCATTTACAATTTAATCATTACATATTTCTCCTAACAAATCTTCCATTTAATTATTCCGTACTCCTTCCATTCATGTATAATTTGACTATTCCAGATTTCTCCAACAGCCAGTGAACAGTGACAAGAGTTTCAAATTCGAATACCGTGGACAAGTAACGATGAAAGGGAAGTCAACTCCCATGAGATGTTACTTTTTGTCTCGGAGGGATCTGAGCCCCGAAAAGAAATCCAGAACCTGTGATTTATAATAAGTAGTGCCTAGCGGCAGGATATTTAAACCTGCAAAAATGTGAACTATAGTCCGTCTAGAAACTTCTTCTTAGAGAAGCACTGCTCCCACAAGTGAACAGACAGAGCACTGCTCTGATAAGTTGACGAAGGGCACTGCTTCGGCAAGTGGACAGACAGAGCACTGATCTGACAAGTGGACAAACAAAGCACTGTTCCAACAAGTGGACAGACAGAGCACTGCTCCGACAAGTGGAAAGACAGAGCACTGCTTTGACGAGTGGACAGACAGCACTGCTCCGATAAGTTGACGACAGAGCACTGCTCCAGGAAGTGGACAGAGAGAGCACTGCTCCGACAAGTGGACAAACAGAGCACTGATCTGACAAGTGGACAGACAGAGCACTGCTCCCACAAGTGGACAGACAATTCACTGCACCCACAAGTGGACAGACAGAGCACTGCTCCCACAAGTGGACAGACAGAGCAGTGCTCCCACAAGTGGACAGACAGAGCACTATTCTTTTGCGGCATGCTTTGTTCCTGGCCTGTCGGTGTTGCCTTTTTAACAGTAAATATGTATCTGAGCGAGGGATCAGGTTGCCAGGGCTCCACATGGTCAGTACAATACTGCCTGGGCTATGTACTTCGGGAGGTCTCCGGCTAGTCAAACTCGCCATCGCCACGGCCTATGATTCTCATGCATGCCTATAGCAGAAGAAAATGCCGTCCTTCAGAAAGACGGAAAGCTGCCAATACTGAAAAACGTCAGCATCTTTTTAGGAGTTATAGGATTAAGACACGAATAGCACATGTTTCTAAACGGACTATAGTCTCATTTTTCTAGGAAGAATCTTGAATTTGTGATAATACTGTCTTTTCAGTAGACAATATGGGTTTGTTCGAGGTCATCGGTATTTTTATTGAACTGGGAACAGTTGTAGTAACTTATGTATTTGATGTACATTATTGTCAGATATTGTAAAATCTTACTTTCCATGAAATTCTAGCAATATAAGATCAACTTTCTTTTAATCTAGTGAGAATTCCTACACTCTTTACTTAACTGGGAATACAATATTTGTACAAACCGTCACACAACGCTGATGTCATGTGTCTTTATTAGGGTTTTCCCTAATGAATTAAAAAACAAACAAACGCTGAAGTAGTTTAAGTGTTGAGATGTTGGCTCGCAATGGTCTAGGCGGTATCCTGCAGCTCCAAAGAACATCTAACCCATTTTAGGGGCGAGGCAACTCAAATTATTGCACAGAATTAATAAATATAAAAAGAAAAGGTAAAGTCGGGAGATGTGAACCAGCGTCATTGCACACGGTTATATACCATAAGTGCTCTGCCACCAGTACCGACAGCTGATAAGAATTGTCCGCCTGTGTCGCCGTTCGCACGTAACTTTGTATCTACAGTGACGTTCCTCCATATTTCATGTACACTAAAGTGTCTAGAAGTAGAATATAATTGTATAGAATTAAATTATTTATTATATTGCAATTGGCGTTACGTTTTTTCAGAACATGTATTGAAATTTTTTTGTATGTGTTGAATTAGGAGCCGAGAGAAAAAAAACATCACTCAGTGACTCACACTAGTAAAATTTCTACACTGATAGTGCAGGTTACATTAAAGTATACAGGTAAAGTACCGTTCTCCACGCCTTCAGACGTATAGGGCATGAAGGGCTAGACATGTATTTTATAGACCAATTGACACTGTGTGAGATGTGGTCAACAAATTGACACTCTGTGTGAGATGTGGTCAACAAATTGACACTCTGTGTGAGATGTGGTCAACAAATTGACACTCTGTGTGAGATGTGGTCAACAAATTGACACTCTGTGTGAGATGTGGTCAACATTGCGACGGCCTCTTTTACTTCCCAGGATTTGTACCTGGTACTCTCGTTTAAGGTTAGGTCGAACTGAAAGCCAACGTCATTTTTTTTAAAAGAAAAAGAAAGTCTGAATCCTTCAGGATTTGAACCCACGACGTTCTGATCCATATACGAGTGCCTAACGGCTCCAGCATGGCAGCTTCCACCAGTTACAGTATGACTGCTAATTCTTGTTACCTTCAGGGTCTTTTGTTTTATTTCACCCTATCTCGGGCCTTCTAGTTTTCGTAGGAGAATTCCTGAGAGAGACCATTATATGGATTTTAGGGTGTGAAATAAACACTGACTTACACAACCCCCCCCCCCCCCCCCCCCTCATAACTTTGGACATTTCTGGGCGTTTTCCACGAAATCTCGGGGAGGGCCTAGATTGGGTGGGGGTTTAAGGTGTAAAGTGGGATGGGGGGGGGGGATGGGTGAGTTGGTAAAAGGAAAGAATCCTCCTGCCTTCTGAGTGTTACGCTTTTATGGTCCTTACCCTTTTCACCGTTCTCTGTAAACAGTAACGGCCAGCTCCAGCAGTAAAGCCAAAAAGTGAGCTCATCATTGTTATCAAGGAAATTTATACACAACTTAACTTCAGTTTAATTAACTTGAAACATATTTTAGTGACTTTTTTCCCCTAATGGCTCAATTATTTATCTTCATAATAATAATTCAGTCAATAAAAAATGTTTCAAGTTATTTAAACTGTAGTTTAATTTGTGAATAAATTTATCTGATAACAATTTGAGCACAGACTGGCCGAGCCGTGGACTGGCCTAACAAAACGGGAATTTCCGTAGACCTGTTGGGCCTTATTCCTAGAGCTGGCTGTGCTATCTAATAGCTCTTCCCTACCTTTCACGTAGCATATACGAGAAGAAAGCGATAAACTGGACCTACAGCGTCCTGGATAGCTGGACACCGGCCAAGACCGGACACATCCTGGGTAGAAACGACGAACAGAGAACCATCAAACAGGCACTGAAATGGAGAAGAAATGGCCCAATGAAACGACGAGCAAAATAATAATAATAATAATAATAATAATAATAACTCCAAGGCGAAGGCCGATGAGAGAGGCTACAAATGCTGGATTGGATTCCATCCATATTTTTGAAACAACTGCACAGGATGGGATACAATAGGAGTAGACTTCTGATCCTGCATAACCTGGACAGTGGAGAGGCGGGCATGCAACAGCTGTAATTGCCGCTTGCACTTTCCATTGCACAAGAAAATGCATTACTTTACTAATTATTATTACTGCTAACTATTTATTACAAATGTGCTACGGGGTCCGCGTTAGCACAGTCGATAGGAGGCTCGCTTTCAAATCCAGCTGCGACTCGCTGCAGCCACGGTTGGTGTTCGAAACCGAGCGGTTCCTGGGGTTCACCAAGCCTCTAGGAAATGGGTACCAGAGTAACACTCTGGGGTAAATGGAGGAACGTCGCTGTAGCTACAGAGTTACGTGCGGTCGGCGACACAGGCGGAAAGTTTCTTATCAGCTGTCCGTACTGGTGGCAGAGTACTTTTGGTTTATAACCGTGTGCAATGACGCGAGGGAGAAGATATCTTGTTATACCCTCCTCAGTGTATTCGTTACTTGCTTACGCTTACACTTGCAAACTGATCACACTCGCCACTGGTTGCGGCACACAACAAGATGACGATAGTGACAGTTCAAATGCCTCCATAAGGCCTTAACTGTGAACGTTTGAGCAGGGCATGACCGAGGACAAGAACATATCACCTGCAGCTGCAGGACATTTCTTCTTCTTCTTCTTAACGTTCACTGGCTGTTGGCTTCAGCAGAAAGTTTTGGCTTATCGTTCACTTCTCCACCTTGGTCTTATTCCAGAACTTGACTTTTGCCTGTATACCCATTTCACAGAAATAGCTCAGTTGTATGCAGACTGTTGGTTCCTCACCTCTGAGACAGATGCACTCCAACTCTGAAGGAAGCTCTCTGATTAGCTAACTTTACGACATGCTTGTTGAGAAACAGTGGGTTTAACCCTCAAATACCCCCCCCCCCCCACACCTCCCCAAATAGGATTCCACAGGAACCCACATTTCCTGCCAGACACACCGTCGCTCAATAGTGGGCATGGATATGAGGGCGGGCGGACAATTTAGTGCTCACCTTCAGTAATGATGATTGATGCTGACGGTATGAGACGCATTATTTGGATAGACAGAAAGCCGCAGACCCAGACAGGGGGCGTTATTCTTTCTGACATGTCTGTATTTACATTCAGAGTGATCTGTTCTTGTTTCCATCTTGATTTCCGAGGCTTGCTGGAACGCAGACACAAGAAAGCTTCAAATAAAAACCTTTAAAATGTGACAGAAATTACGAGAATCATGCCACTGTCCTGTATGTAATCTATCAATGTTATTGTTAACGATGTCGAGAGTGTTAAGCACGTAACGTTACGGTAAACACGAACACTGTGAAGTCAGAATGACAGCTTAAAGATGGGTGCTTCACGTTTAATATGCATCCAAAAAAAAGAGCATATTTTTGTTATCCGTTTTATGATTACTGAAGAGGCGTTTGTTTGTTTGTTTGTTTTAGTGTCCAGAAGCCATGAGTTGGTAACCCTTAGGCTCGGTGTTATTGATATCGCAACCTTTCGGCCTTCATTCCATTGTAAATACCGTAAATCTGGGAGAAATGTGGCTTTTCTGCCTACCCCGAGAGTGAACCCGGACGACAAGGAGTTCGTCACCCGGTCACCACGCAATCCGGTTTAGCCAACTACGCTAGAGAACCGGACAGTGAAGAGGTGAAATTTATAGTAATTCATATTCGAATGAAAGTCCACTATAGTAATACATGCCTGACAGTCCGGCAAGTATATGACTGGTGTGAGAAGCTTGAAAACGGCGTGACTTCTATATGCCTGCATCTGTTGTGAACAGTCTGTCGCAGTAGTCACGCTGTTTTGAAACTTCCGTCTTCCTTCTTGCGGGACTGATAATTTCCCAATTACCACCACCAAAAGGTCTAAGACCAAACTACTAGTCGACCAGAGAGCTTCACAAAGTAACAAAACACAAACTCAAAGTGAACATTGCAGCTTCAGAGCCTTCATCAGCACATTACATGAATCAACA